CCCTACAACGGTTAGACTCAAACAAGAGTTGCGAAATAAGGCTAAACCTAACCGTTTGAAATTATTTAGTCCTTATAATATGTAACTTAACATATTCGATTACTAGTTAGTTAAAGATAACTAGAAATCCTAAAAGCACAAAGCAAGCAGCATTCGAGCATCAAGTAAACAAAACCAGGCATATCCTAATCAGGCCATCATATTACTGACTAATCAGTACTAGCATGCAATTCAATAAGCTCATACATTACTTATGAATGTTTTCTTTGAGTTTTTCTCACGACATCTTACATGAAATAATCAATAAAGATGTGTTTTAGGCTTTTGATGATTATGTCCATCGCAATCTCGACTACTTTGTTGTTTAGGTCATGTGTTTGAATGTCATATATAACTTTTTCATACTTTCTCGGATTTTAAAGATCTTTATATCTATACGTTTGTATTTTAGTCTACTACAATTTTTTTTAGATTACTCCTGTTAAAAAGTAATATATTTTTTAATTACGATCTTTATATCCATACGTTTTTTATGAATGCATGTATGGATGTATTTTTTTTTTTTATAAAATCATAAGTCAAAACATATTATATTTTAACAGGAGTAATCTTAACGAAAGTTATAGCAGACTTAAAAAATGAACACGTAGATATAAAGTTCGTTAAAATCAGATATCGTATGAAGAAGTTACGACGTTCGAAATACAAAACCTAAGCCAAACCACAAGATATATGCAACCAAGCAGTCAAGGCCGTGATGGACATAAGCATCTACAACCCCAAACACCTCATCAATCAGGGACAGACGCAGGATTTGGTAGTAGGTGTTGCCGGTAAGTAGAAAAAAGAAAAAAAAAACCGAATAATATCGAAAAATTTACACTGCGTACAGAAAAACAGGAGTTGTCGGTGCCACTGCGGGCAGCCAAAGAGAACCGTCCATGTCATCAATGATAGTCCCATGTTAGATGTCATGAGAAAAAACCCTAAATAAATTATTAATAAGTACTGAATTTGTACAAAAACAAAAATGACTTATTTTGAAACAAAAAAATATTAAGGACTAAATGTGTACAAAAATATTAAGGACTAAATGTGTACAAAATGAGAAATATATTACCCTAAGAAGTCATTTTTCCCGGCTAACCTAGAGTAACCGGTCATAAGAACCGAATATATACAGTTTAACAAGTTGTAGGGGTAAATATGGACGAAAAAAAAACTCAATGACCAAATGTATATAAATTGAAAAATATATTACCCTTTTAAGTCATTATCCCTATAAGAATATGTATTGTTTTTGTTTATGAATGTTAATTTCTTATTTATCTGAATATAATTTATATATCTCTCGAAACCTAAAGTGAGGCTCTAATAATCATCACCAACGTTTTTATGATTTATTAATTTGGATATTAGCTAATAATTAAATTTTTAACTATTACTATTATAGATAATAGTTATTAACGGATTCTTAACAAGACTAATAATATTCATAATGATGTTTTAAATTAATTGTTTCGTTATATATTTTTGGTAGGGCCTTAGTTCTACTGTTTGTATTTTGCCCCTAAATTTAAAAGTATAATCTGACTAAGGATCTGTAATTTATAAGGGTAAACTAAAAATTATTTTTCCTGTTATTCGTGATTAAGTATAGGTAGTTAAGCATTAGCAATTAGCAATCAATAGCGTTGTGTTTTGTGTCTCATTTTCCATAAGATCTTCCGTTTGATTCTGGTTAGTTGCTATTACTTTCTTATGTTAGTGGTGTCCATAGAGGATGAGAAGCTTAATATTATTTATTAGTTTATAAAATGTGAGAAATACGGTTATAAAATTAATTAAATTTTTATAATAAAAATTTAAAATTATTAATCAGTTATTTTCAATAAATTATTAATTTAAGAGATATTTTTATTAGTTATGTAAAATTATAGTTGTTGATTTAAATAAATATGTAAAATTAATTTTTAATATATATTATATATGTTTTATTTGTGAGTTAATGAAAACAATAATATAAAATTTAAAATTTAAATGTAAATAGAGAATAAATACAATGACAAGTAGTATCACATTAATGAAAAAATCTAATAAATTTAAAATAAAGAATTAATAGATTGACAAGTGACAACACATTAATTAAGATGTTTAATATGATGATACATTGTAAAATAACTACTCTTTTATTAGTATAAGGAGATATGGTTTACATATAATGATCAAGTATTTCTTATTGGCATCGATTCAGAAGGTTAAATTTAAAGTCCAATTTAGGAAACATGTGGCTCTCGGGTGGATTGACTTTTTTTTTTCTTAGTCGTTTTTAAGTAAATTATTTGTACTTTATGCGCATCTAATTTATTGTGGTTTTTCTCTATCTTCTTTGTGTATTTATAAGGGTAAATGATACAAAAAACAGTTTTTATATAAAAATACGATTTTGATACCGTGTTTTTTTTATGTTAATTTTGACACTTTGTTTTCCAATTTGTTACAATTCTGACCACTTGACTGGTTAACCAGGTTACATGTTGACGTGGCATAATGACGTATCAGATTTGATGACGTGGCATGCTGACGTGTCAAAATTGATTTTTTTTTCCACAAAAAACACTAAGTTTTCACTTTTTTCGATTTTGACACTAAGTTTAATTTTTTATTTTAATTTTCACACTATGTTTTTTTTTTTTTTTTTTCAATCGAACATCATTTATCAAATTTGTTCAATTTTGTCTATTTTCCATTTAAAAACGTACAAATATATTTTTTTTATTACATTTTAAACCGTATAAATATATTTTTTTCGTTTAAAAACTATACTTTTTATTTAAATACAATGTGTTTTTTTTCTTACATTCAAAACATTAGTTATATCATGAGAATCAAACTAACCATAAGCTTCTAATAATATGTAAAAATTTGATGGGTTGCAAACTTAATATCTGAGTTTTGATCGACTACACGCCTCCACACCTCCAAACACATTTTAAAGTTGGATATTTAATATAAAATATAATTTTTATATAATATAAGGATATGGTTTGAGTGTAAAAAAATGTATTTATACAAAACTATGGTTTTTAAATGAAAAAAATCATATTTATACGGTTTAAATGTATTAAAAAAATATTTATACGGTTTCAAATAGAAAATTGTCAACATTAAACAAAATTAAAAAAAATGATGTTCGATTTGGAACAAAAAAACATAATGTCAAAGTTGAAAGAAAAAATTAAACTTGGTGTTAAAATCGAAAAGAAAAAAAAATGAAAACTTAGTTTTTTTGTGAGAAAAAAATTCAATTTTGACACATAAGCATATAATATCAGCATGTCACAACATCAAAACTGACACGTCAGCATGTAACCTGGTTAACCGGTCAAGTAGTCAAAGTTGTGACAAATTGAAAAACACAGTGTTAAAATTGACACAAAAAATAACACAGTGTCAAAATCGATTTTGAAGAAATCACAATAAAAGTCCTGAAACTTCAGCAATTCACTCCGGAATATAAAGGTTTGTTTGGAAATCATCACACACAGTCACACATCCATCTAAATTCTAATTCAAAGTGGCTGCTTTCAATTAAAAAATTAATTACTTTCAAAAATACATGAATTTTTTTAATTTTTCTCCTGTTATGTCTTATGCAGAAATAAACCCAATGTCGGAAGTTCCCGCAATCGTTGATGGAGGATTCAAGTTGTTTGAGAGGTGGTTTCGTTTTTTATTTGAACTCCTTTACATTGAACAATCTTATATGCATTCATTTCTATTGTTTATAAAATATGAACAATTATGGTTGAGGTTGGCCCAAATGTACAAATTCAGATAAATTAAAAGACATCCCCACAAATTCATGAACCTTGTGTATTGCTACAAGTGTTTTTCTATCAAATATTTAAGATTTCTTTGCAGTCATGCTATTCTTATCTACCTAGCTTGTACAAATCCTGGAGTAGCAGATCACTGGTGAGTTTGTTGTTTATATCCTCTTGTGGAAACTACACTTCATGTTCGAATATGATAATATCTATTATTATCACTCATACATTGGCTAATATTTTGTATCATTGCACCATTGTTTACATAGGTATCCTACCGATATATTCAAAAGAACAAAGATTCACTCTCTCTTAGACTGACATCATTCCAATAATCTCCATCGTGGTGCAAGTAATTCAAACAATATTAACGGGTGTTTGGATGTGGATTTTGAAAATGATTATCTGGTTATTTTATACCCGTATATAGTTTCTATTATGCTTTCTTAAACATTACAATTTTGTCAAATGCTAAGGTTGCGTTTAGTTACGGAAAAACAGTTTTCATTTTTCGTTTTCCCTTTTAAGTTTTTGATTTCCGTTTTCAGTTTTCAATGAAAACTTTAGAAAATACGTTTAGTTAAAACTTATTTATTTTTCATTTTCAGTTTTAGAAAATTAGAAAACGTGTTTAGATGTATATTTTTCTATCCATTTTTATTTTTAGAAAACGGTAGCGGAGGTAGGGTGTGTGTTTATATTTAAAAAAAAAATGGAATTACAAAATTTTTGAAAACAATGATGATAAGTTTTCTAAAAATTTCTTTCTCTGTAATTTTAGAAAACAAAAATTTTCATTTTCCGTGAAAATATTTAAAAAATAGAAGAGCTAAACGCGTTTTCAAAATTTTCAATTGGAAAATTTTTCCGGAAAACAATCGATTTTTCCGGAACTAAACGCAGCTTAAACATCTTAAAACATTAATTATGACTTCAAGCACTTGAAATTATTCAAAAAGTATCCCATGCATGCCCTATGTTCTACTATAATTCACTTTATGCTTTATTCAATCAATATCACATGATATTTTTGAAACACACATCTAAACAGCCTAGTATATATATTGAGTTTAAACCAAAATTGATTTTTCTTAATTGTATTAGTGTCATTTTAGAACGACTTTATTCTTGTAGCTGGACTTGTACACAACACGATACTAGCCCCTTTATATGGATTACCTTCGAATCCTAGAGCAGCTGATGAAGCTAAGAAGATACTTCCGAAATCTTTGTCTATATATATTAGAAGACTTTTGGCTACAAGGACCCGGTCAATTTCTGCTTGGAAACTCTAAACCATCAATAGCGGATCTCAGCTTAGTATGTGAAATCATGCAACTAGAGGTAATTAAACACATTACATTGATAACCTATTATGGCCAAAAATCTACCATATGTTCTTGTTTTTGGCTCACTCCAAATCAAAACAAAATTTTTCTTGTTTTCAGTTTCTAAGTGAGAGGGACTACCTTAGAATATTAAGTCCTTACAAGAAAGTTTTGCAGTGGATTAAAGATACAAAGAATGCTACTGCGCCTTATTTTGATGAAATCCATATGACTCTGTTTAATGCTCAAAAAGGAATCCGAGAGCAGATGCTCACACAATCAATTAGTAGCCCTGAGGGTGGAAGCAAAAGTGAAGTGTATTCAGAGATGTGAGGGAGAAAGAATAAATTTCCAAAACTCTTTGGTTGGATATGACCTCCTTTCTTGTCCTTAAAGAAGATGATCTTCTTTCATAAAGTCGTTTCATGCATGTATACCTAAATAAAAAATGGTGTGTGGAAGGTTATATTGTAAGTGTTGGAAGAAATGTCCACTTTTTGTACTCTAGAAATAAACGTTTGTAGAGGTTCCGTAATAATGCTTTGAAATTTCATTCCTAGTTGAACTTGATTTCATGACTTCAACCACATACATAGTGAACTTATGAATTTTCCGGTAAAGGATAAAATTATAAACCCAAAAAAATGTTATGTTGTTAAGTATATATTATGGTTACATATAATTAGTATATGATAAAAAAAAATTAGGAAACACATGATTAGTATATGGAACATTAAAATTTGATAGTCATAAAAAACTACACAGAAAAATATTATAGTATTATCAAGGTGTAAAACATTAAGTTACAAACAAATAAAGTAACGTTATTGAGATATGTGTACACAAATAAAATAAATTACTATAAACTCAAAATGATGAATAAGTGTGAACCGTAATTAATAAAGCATGATTTGAAAAAGTATCATCCTAAATTAAAATTAATAATTTATGTGTTTTGATCTATTTTAATTCTACATAAAACTATATACAAGTGATTGTAATGAACTCTTGTTTACGGTGATAGCAAAATAAAAGGAAAATGAAAATTATAATCATCTGATCTTGAATAGAATTATCTTATTATGTGCAGGAGACAAAGACATTCCCGTAATAAAAGCCTAATAGCAAAAATATTACTTCTAGATATAATTACTGTATCAATAATATAATTGGGTTAATGATTTAGGAGGGTAATAAGGTTTTAATTTTGTCCATATTAAGTCTTTAAGGATTTTTTGGACATATTATACCAATATGGTTGTATATAACCGTTAAAAAAATATAATAGGGTTTTAATTTTGTCCATATTAGGTTCCTAAGGTCTTTTTTTTTTTTTTTATTATTATTTTTTTATTTTTTACATATTACACCAATATGCTTGTTATAACCGTTTAAAAAGTGGTAATAAGGTTTTAATTTTATCCAGATTAGGTCTATATTTTTAATATTTTATCATATCATCTAACTCTTTTACAATTTATATTAGTATTTACTTAGATGATTTTATCATTTCATCTTCTCAGTTTAATTACCCATCTACCACAACCATGGTTTCAATTGAAATTTTACATAACAATTTTTTTTTTCGTTTTTACACAAAAAAAAAACTAATAATAATTAATGTATTAATGATAAATGTTATGTTTTGTGCGTCACAGCTAGTTTATTTTTCGATCATTTTTAAGTTGTCATATTTGGCAAGCTAAAAAGTAGCTTATAAGTTAGCGTTTTAAAAAGCTACATAAACTAGTTTTTAATTTTTTTTTTAATAGATTTTCAAATATACCCCTTAATTAATTAAGAAAACATATTTTTTAAGTGCCCTATTATTTCATTATATAAATTTCAGATAACTTATAAGCCAGTGGCGAAGCCAAGATCAAAATAAAAGAATATCCCCAAAAAGTAATGGGATATCTCCGATAAGTAATGGTTCCGCCAATAGGGTATCCCCACTATGTCATTACTTATCAGGGATACTGCATTACTTTTCGGAGATGCTCTTTTACTTTGACCATGGATCTGTCATTGGCTTATAAATGATCCGAAATTTATATAATGACATTTAAAAAATATGGTTTTTTATTAACTAAGGGGTATATTTGAAAATTTAAAAAAAAAAAACTTTTAAAAACTAGTCTAATTAACTTTTTAAAACGCTAGTTTACAAGCTATTTTTTGGCTTGCTAAACATGACAACTTAAAAAAATCGAAAAATAAACTAGCTTATTAGCTAGCTGTGATGCACCAAACATAGCTTTAATTATTAAGACTTTGATTATTATTAGGTTTTTTTTTGTTTTGTAAAAATGACAAAAAATTGTTATGTAACATTTCAATTGAAATCGTTGTTGTGGTAGATGGACGATTAAAATGAGAAGATGAAATGATGAAGTCATCTAACTAGATACTAATATAAATTGTAAAAGAGTTAGATGAAATGATAAAAATATTAAAGATAAGGACCTAATGTGGAAAAAAAAATTAAAACATTATTACCACTTTTTAAATGGTGATAACAACTATGTTGGTGTAATATGTACAAAAAAAGACCTTAGAGATATAATGTGGACAATTAAAAGCTTATTACCTTTTTTTAACGGTTATATACAACCATAATGATCTAATATGTACAAAAAAACCTTAAGGGTCTAATGTGAATAAAGTTAAAACCTTATCACCCTCCTAGATCATTAGCCCTAATACAATTACCATACACAATTACCTGAACCTAGATACCTTTTTTCTTCTCCTAGATACAACGATAGTAAACAACTGTTTATTTCACCATCAGTTTCATTTTTTGGTGCAAGTATAGCATTCCCTCAAAAAAAAAAAAAAGTTAAGAGTATTATAGTTCTAAAGAATAGAAGGATATACGAACTTAGTGAACATATAAGATCACATGATTGAATAACGAGAAAATCCTCTAGAATATCTGTAATTGCATCATCATCATCATCATCATTGGAACACCATCTTTGCTTTCTTGTATATCGAAAAATCAAATTTCAAATAACCATGTATTTTCAATATCATAAGGATCACTCGCTACAGACAAACTTATGTTATCCTAGATGTAATAATTAATGTTAATAAAAATATTATATATATATATATATATATATATATATATATATATATAATCAGATTATATTAATATTAGAAAAATGATTAGATCAAAATTAATGGCTCAATTAGATGAAAATTATAAGGTATTATGTCTAGAAACCATCATCCATGATTAGACCATAAATTCGAGTAATGAGGGGATAGTAACCAATGAAACCTTTGGCAATATATAAAGCTTGAAATTTCTGGTGGAAACCCTACTAAATCTGCGAAGAGAGGTGATGGGACGAATGAGAAATTGGAGTTAGAAGTTCTAGAGATTTTTTGGAGTTTTCTAGCAAATTAAGGTATGTTTATTTGATTTTAGCTGGTTATAGTTGCTAGAGTAGGGTTATACGGTCGTGCAACGTGTTTTGGTTCCACTTAGTGTCTCAATTTGGTTGATAATACTATAATTTTATAAGGATTTTAATGGAACATAGTGGATGCAATAAACGATTTTATTTATCCTAATTTGATTTTGATTTTGATAATTAATTATGGATGTACGACTAATAAGAAATGAAGATAATCAATGATGATTTTATATCTTTATTTGGTAATTATTTTTTGAGAGAAGTCCAAGTTGTTATACTTATGAAAATTGTTAAAAAAGGAAAAAAGAATTTCGGGTTAGGAAGACGGCTTACTGGGTCTTCTTTTGTTGGGCGAAGCTGACCCATGGTCGGCTCCCATTATCATTTATCAACCCTATATATATATATATATATATATATATATATATATATATATATATATATATATATATATTATTTCAAAATGAAAAATACGGATTCAATCCTTCAAATGTTATAATATGTTTGATTTTGAAATGAGACTGTATAGTAATATGAAAGTATGTTTCATTTGAATTGAAACCTGATGTTGCTGATTAAGTCCCTCTACTTTGGCGACTTGTTTTTTTTGGTGTCACAACAAGAATTTAACTTTAAGATATATAAGTTCCTAAACTATTTACAAATGTTTGATAAATTTCAACACTCAATTTTTTTTTCTTTTTTTTCATATATTTATATTAAGGTTTTATAAAGTGATAATTTAAAGTAGAAGGTTTTCTTAGTTCGATAATGATTCAATATAATATTTAGGTCAAAATTAATATCAATCTCATGAATAATAAAATTGGATAGTTATTGGTTGACCGAACAAGATAAGTTTATAGTGGAACTAAACGAGCACATGGGATATTTTTCTAGGATTGCGACATTTGAAAACCATGTTGGTTAACTGTAAGGTGTGGGTAGCGTGACAAGTTTGGTTAAGACCTAACGCCAACAAGGTGAGATTCGCATGAGTTTTGTGGTTGCTTGCATGAAAAGTTCATTCTAATTATTTTTCTAATTACATGTTACTGTTGTTATTGCTCTGAATATTTATGTGGATTTTATGAAATATTTCATGTAAAATAGTGAAAAGGGTAGGTGACATATGCATAGGGAACAGGTGTATTAATTACATGGTCTTGTTATTAGTCGTTGTATAGGGTGTCAGTACGTGGCGGAGAGCCTACGCTCTGATTTATTAGCCGTAAGCATATTTGTTATGCCTGGCGGAGGGACTTGTTCCCTGAAAAATGACAGTAGTTCCTTAATATGTCACCGAGGGTTGAAAGGAATGAAAAGACTTAAATTTGATAAGTTGTTGTATTTGTTTTTATTTTGTTGATGTAATATGCATGAAAACCACAAACTTACTAGGTCATAGGCTTACTCATTAGAATCTATAATGCACGCAACCGAGGAAATAACGTAGCAAGTGGCAGCAGGAATGGAAATGATAAAGCTCAAACTTGAAGAAGGCAACAAGTTTTGAGGAGGACGTAACACACCAAGTGTTTATTTAAATTTTCTATTTGCTTCCGCTATTATTATTATTATTATCATTATTATTATTATTATTATTATTATTATTATTATTAATGATATTGGTATTAGGATTTTCAGATATTAGAGGTTTTTTAGACCATGTTAAGATAATATTTTTTATTTAAATTTGGGGCGTTATAAGTTGGTATCGGAGCGATGTTTAAGCAGATTAGTCGTTGTTTAAACGCCTAAGCTTAAACAGAAGGAGCGGTACATCGTCTAATCTGGACTGCGTCTGGTTTGTAAGTACTATAGATCATAGAAAGGCCTATCGTCGATAGTGGGGTGGCAGGTGAGGGTACAAGTGGGTTACTTCGTCATGAGAAGTTGGAGGCCGAATTAGAGCTCTCAGATTTGGAAGACAGTATGGAACCAACTACTCCACTCAACCTCTCTGAGCGAGATGAAGAAGATAAAGATGAGAACTCTGAGGAGGAACCCGATGAAGATCCTGAGGAGGAAACCGACGAAGGCCGCGATCAGGAACTTGAAGAAGACGCCGAGGAGGAACCCGAGGGAAACCACGTGGAGTACCATGTGGAACAAAGATATGAAGCTTTCAATATGACCTATGTAGAGTATACGATAACTAATCTTGGTTTTTATTGGGAGAAGCTATATAAGGAAGAAACGACCCAGACACAGCTCGAGATTCACAATCTAAAAAAGAAATATTGAAGAGATAGATAAGCATTGGTCAAGGCTCGTACATGAGAACCAAATACGTGTTGAGGCTGCTAAGGAATGTAAGCGCAAGATATGATGGTTAGAAAAGGAAGTAATGGAGCTAAGGAAACCCACTATCACTAATCTGTGGGAAGGATTTGTGGCTTGGGCAAAGCGAGCCAAGGCCGCGACATATGGATTTTTAGATAATGTGGTTGGAAGAGACCCACCTCAGGCCGAGGTGCTGGTAATGCAGAGTGGTCCCGGAGATCGAAAAGCCAAAAAGAGAAGGAGGTACTTGAAGGAGGGAAAGCGAATCTTGAAATATGATGACATTGTGTTTAAAAAGTAGAAAGAAGGAGTTTCGATAAATTTGTTTTTCCTTTTGGTTGTTGGCTTAACTAGTTTGAGGTGAACAAGACATATACCTCTTTTTGAAATTCTGATGATTTGGAATAAAATTTATGTTTGTAATACTTATTGTGTTATAAACATAAATCTGTAGTTAATATGTCTTCACGAAGATCTGGGAGGTTCACTAGGGTCACCTCGGAGGAAGAGCGCATCCTAATTAGGGATTATATCAGAGCACTAGGGGAGATACCAGAAACCCCACTGATCCCAAAATGCTAGTCGTGGATGGGGACAAGGAAGAAGAGGAGGCAGGGATAGAGGAAGAGGCCGAGGAGCTGTTACAACATCGATGCCTGCACCATCGGCCTATGGAAGCTCCGGATCCTACCGCGATTGAGGTCGAGGTCGCTGAAGGGGTCGTGCGGCCAACGTGATAACTAAAGAAGAGTTGGATGATGAGATTGCTCGGGCAATTCGAGCCACCTTGACAGATGTAGTTGCTCATGCACGAGAAGCAATAATGGGTGAGTATGAAGGTAACTTGGGCGGAGGTGGAGAAGACTATGAGTACAGTACACCAAATATGAATCAGGAACCAAGTATTACACAACCCTCAAGGTATTATGACAACCATGATCGGCGAGGTTGTAGTTATAAGATGTTCATGAATTTTAATCCACCTGTATTTAACAGAGAAATTGACCTTGTTTTGTCATAAACATGGATTATGGAGATTGAGGGAACATTTGATACTAACAAGTTTACGGATGAGGACAAAGTAATTTATGCTGCGAAAATGTTAAAGGGAGAGGCAATACATTGGTGGGGCATGGTGAAGGAAGTTAGGGGACGTGAGGCGGCCAAGAAGATGTTATGGGATGAGTTTCTAATAATCTTTAAAGAAAATTTTTGTCTGCGGACAACAGTTAAACAGTTAGAGGAAAAATTCTTGAGGTTGGAATAGGGGAATATGACTATGAGGGAGTACGCGACTAAGTTCACGGAGAAAGCTAAGGTTTGCTGAATTTTACGTATCTACAAAAGAAAGAAGGGTGGAACGCTATATATGGGGATTGAGAACAGCTATCCGTGAATTTATGAAAATTCAGAAACAAGGTACTTTCCAGTTTGCTGTAGATGTTGCAGAAGGTCGCGAACGTGAAAAAAATAGTCAAGGTGAAGACATGGCTTTGGGGAAAAGAAAATAGGATGTTACGAATAATGATTCAGAAAATCAAGACTTCAGGGGGAGTGTAACATGAATCATAAATTCTTCTACAAGTGTGGAAATCCTGGGGACATAGCCATAGAATTTAAGACAAGAATGCTATGTTACGGGTGTGGTTCCCCCAACCACATCAAGTCGGAATGTCCCCAGTGTAAAGGTAGCAACAATCAAGGCATAATAACAGATAATCGGTCAACGAATAAAAAGGCTGACAGTGGTAGACCAAAAGCTAGAGCTTCTCACATGATGGCTTGTGTAACGCCCGCGTTTCTGGGCTAAAAGCATTAATAAAGTTGTAATAGTCTAGGTCAACCTTTGTAACTCATTTTGAAGTAATAAAGAGGAATTATGTGAATTATATGCTTATTTGCTTAATTATTATGATTTAATTAATTAATAATGAAAATAAGCATTTAAAATAAATATTAGAAAAAGCCTATATCTTTTAAGAAAGTTGTAGTGGCCGAAACAAGGATTCCGGAAATAAAAAGAACGCCGAAATCCGAGTTATAACGAAGAAGTTATGACTTGTCGAAGTTTCGCGACGAAACCGGCACGACGCCGGGAAGCGTAAAAAGTGAATATTGAAATAAAGTGATTTTTATCCTTAACAATCTAAACTAAAGTCATAGTATTCGTTAAACCAAGAATTTTGATAAAAAGAACGTCCAAATCTGACTTCGTATGAGGAAGTTATGATTTTTCTAAGTTTTAGCTTAGCAGTAGACAACTAAATACTCGAATTTAAGATCGAGAGATATTTAGCCAACACAACCTAAATGAGAATCAAAGGTCTCGTCAATAGTAGTACAACGGTAAAAAGACTGACGAAAACGGACGTCGGATGAAGAAGTTATGAACTTTTAACGGACTTTCCTGTCCCGGTCTGTTAAAAATAATAATATTAAAATTAAATACAAAATTAGCTGACGAAGTCTAAACGAAAGTTGTAGAGCGTAATTTTAGCTACGCGTGCATATAAAGAACGTCAAAAACGGAGCTCGTATGCGAAAGTTATGACTTTTAGAAGTTTTGGGTGCAAAATCCAAGGAATTTCGCATGCATGGCTCGGATTTGGCCACGTACGAGCCTCGCATGCATGACACGTGTTGCATCCGTGGAAGAATCCAAAGCAGCCACGTCTCGCCGACCAGCCTCCGATGCACCCTTCGCATCCGAACCTTGCACGAGCAGCGTATCCGCCTCCGTGTCTCGCCTCGCACCAACCACTTGTCTCGCTCCTTTGCTGCCACGCCTTCCTTTCATGACCGAGCCTCGCAGCTGCTATGTGGAGCATTCTCAGCCATGAAGCCCTCGGTCTCGCACCCTATAAATAAGGGGGCTGTGAGATCTCCCGGCTAGAATTAGAAAAATGTCATTTTTCACCCCTAAACTTATATTTTGACTATTTTGAGTTCCCCCGAAGCCCCGATATCAATTTTAAAGCTCGGAATACGTCCCGAAGTGCCCGAAAACCCGGAAAATTTTATCTTTTCGGTTTTGAAGCTCCAACTCTCGCAGAGCCCGGTTTCTCAATAAAACTCCTGGTTTTATCAGAAACGATCATTTTAAGGAACGAATTGTTGTCCGATTATCATCAAATCAAGTGAGTGTATAGTCACTTTCATCTTACACATAGATATGAAGTATTTTCTATAAAATATGTGTTATGTGTAATTATATTGATTGTTTATTTGAGATGATTGTTGAATACAATGTTTTATACAAGTTATAAACTGTATATGTATTTTATCTACAAATATGTTGGGTAAAACATGGGTAGACGAAATAGTTGATGTGTGTTAAAATGATGAGAGGCCTCGATGTTGTTGTTGTTCCAGTCATCTAGCGGAGTATGGATGACGACCATGGACTCTTCTAGATAGTTCAGTGGAACGTTGGCAGGCTCGCAACCTGTAGGTGTTGTGAACGATGTGTTCACCGATGTACTCCATCCCCCTCATGGTTGCCTTTAGGACATTTATTGTTGAGGAACCCCCTTAGTAGTAGTGTCCATCCCGATGATAAAATCCTTAGACTAGGTCCCTTGTATTGGTGTTTAGGGACATAAAGTGAGGATAATGGGAATGGGTAATCAGGGTTATTGTTGGTTGATGAAATTAATAAATTTATTGTTGATCGATGAAATTAATAAATTTATTATTATTTGTGGGTTGAAAACCCTATATGCTCACCAGGCTCCCAAGCCTGACCCACTCAGTTTTATGTATTACAGGTAGTAGCGCTCGAGCATAGTTGTGATGTGTTGGGATGAGGGATTACGGATATAGGCATGTAAATATGAAATAATGTAGTAAGGTTTATATTGTATTGTTTATACTTATGTATTGTATCGAACATGACATCCTAAGTCTTATAATGAAATACATTTTTAAGGAAATGCTTTTGATAAATCTTTATCATATTATTGTTTTGGGACAAATTTCGCAATTATTTTATTGAAAGGTTACTCTGATTTTGAAATAAAGTATAAACAAAACCGGTCTTTTCTGGCCGTGAAATTGGAGATGTCACAGCTTGGGAGGCTGAAAAAGACCCCAGATGTGGTGATAGGTACTTTCCTAGTAAACTCATTACATGCTAGGGTATTATTTGATTCTGGTGCGAATAGATCTTTTGTTTCTTTTACTTTTTGCAAATGCCTGGATAGAAATGCAAAGATTCAAGAACATGCCTTAGAAATTGAAACTGTTGATGATCATTGGGTAGTAGTAAGGGAGGAATATGATGGTTGATCTATCGAAATTGAAGGTTTCATAGTACCGTTAAAATTATTACCTATAGCCCTAGGTGATTTTGATGTCATTATAGGGATAGATTGGTTGTCGGCAAACCAAGCAATCATAGATTGTGAAAAATCGGATTGTTTAAGTTTGGGTGCTAGGAAAAGGAATGGTAAAGATTTTTGGTGACCGACAAGTTATGGACTCTCTTTTGATATCAGCGGCTAAGGCAACTCGTTATCTAAAGAAAGGGTGCCAAAGTTATTAGGCATATGTTCTCAATGCCAAGCAGGAAAAGCCTGAAATAACACATATACTAGTTTTACGCGAGTTCGAAGATGTGTTCCCTGATGACCTGACTAGCCTGCCACCATATAGGCAAGTGGAGTTTCGAATTGATCTTACCCCAGGAGTAGCACCGATAGCTCGTGCGCCCTATCGGTTAGCACCAATATAAATGAAGGAGATGATGTCTCAATTGCAAGATCTGCTTGACAAGGGTTTTATTCGACCCAGTACCCCACTATGGGGTGCACCAGTACTGTGCTTCAAGATGAAGGATGGGACAATGCGAATGTGCGTTGACTATAGGGAGTTAAACAAGGTGACTATAAAGAACCAGTTTCCGTTACTGATAATTGATGATATGTTTGGTCAACTTCAGGGGGCAAGTTACTTCTCAAATATCGATTTGCGGTCGGGGTATCACCAACTGAAAGTTATGGAAGAAAATGTGTCAAAGACAGCCTTTCGAACAAGGTATGGTCATTATGAGTTCCTAGTAATTCCATTTGGTTTGAGCAATGCACCAACTGCATTCATGGATTTAATGAACCAGATGTGCAAGCCATGCTTAAATAAGTTTGTAATTTTATTCATCAATGACATCTTGATATACTCTAAAAGTAAAACGGACCATGAGAAACATCTACGACTACACTTAGATTAATGAGGAAAGAAAAACTATTTGCCAAATTTTCGAAGTGCGAGTTTTGGCTTCGGGAGGTCCAGTTTTTGGGACATGTTTTAAACGAACATGGCATCAAGGTAGACCCAACAAAGATTGAGGCGATTAAAAAATGGGAGTCACCAAGAACGCCATCAGAAGTTCGAAGTTTTCTTAGGTTGGTGGGATACTATCGGAGGTTTATACAAGACTTCTCATGCATAGCTACACCGATAACTACCATGCCAAGGAAAAATGTAAATTTTGAATGGAAGCCAGAATAGGATGATGCCTTTAATGTCTTAAAGGAAAAGCTTAGTAGTGCACTAGTATTATGACTACCAGAAGGAAATGACGGCTTTGTCATTTTTAGTGATGCATCCAAGTTAGGCTTAGGGTGTGTTTGATGCAAAATAGTAAGATGATTGTTTATGCATTACGATAGATGAAGGTTCATGAGCGTAAATACCCAATACATGATGTGGAGTTGGCTACAGTAGTGTTCGCTTTAAAGATCTGGAGACACTATTTGTATGGGACAAGGTGTCAGATCTTCACTGATCATAAGAGTCAAAAATACTTGCTTGATCAGAAACATTTGAACACGAGACAAAACGATGGATGGAGCTTTAAAAAGATTACGATTGTCAGATATTGTACCATCCATGGAAGGCGAATGTTATAGCTGACGCACTAAGTCGTGAGGAAATGAGAGAACCACCTAAGATTCAGATATTAAAGATTAATGTAACCACCTACTTACTAGATGATTTGAGAAAGATTCAGGGGGGAGGCCTTGATGGAAGAGAAGTGGAAAAGTGAAGGAGTGATTAGAAAAATACAATCATTGGAAAAGGATAATCGTGGCTTGAAGGGCTTCCAGGGAAGGGTTTGGGTACCACGAGTGGGTGATGTGCATAAATTACTTCTCAAGAAGGCACACATGTCAAAGTACTATATCCATCCAGGAATAAACAAGATGTATACATATCACATACCACACATGCAAGAGTCACACAATGAATTCGGATCCTAATCATAATAATTCATGGACTGGCATTGGTGCTTTCGACCCCGTCGAACATAGTGATGAGACTCACCTCAATCAGAAGATAGCAATCTCACACCCAAGTTTGTTACGTCTCCTCACACTAAACATAATCAATACCAACCCTAGTTACTATCTAAGGTTAAGCCCATAAATCATAAGGCCCAATAATGGCCTAAAAGTTCCAAAATGGCATAAAGTCAACGGTCCAAGCTCCAATAGTTGACCCTCACGTCATGATCAACTCATGGTTACGTCGTGAGTATTAAATCATCCCCGTCCCAACTCAGCCAATAAACTCGCCTAGTCTCAATTCCAATAATCATCACATCGTGGCCACCCCCGGTTACGTCGTGACCTAATCCAGACAAAACAGTCGGGATGACATGCATTCTCACGACATGACAGGCTCATTCGTTAAGGCGACACTGCATAAAACAATATATAATGGTTAATGTTATGTTATTTTATCATATTATCATATAGATTGTCAACTGAATTAAGCTACATATATTTCTAACTTCAAGAATACATTCAGAAGCAATAACATATTAATGTCTCATCGCAGGGTATGCGACTGCCCGATGGATAACACTTGGTAAGAGGAACCAACCATACTACTGCTAGGAAATTTGTCCATGATCTACAAAATTAAGATGTCAAACAATTAACAAAAATGTATTAAGTTATAATACTTGTTGCTTAAAAGCTATTATGAAACATAGTGGACATACCATAAATGTATAGACATACAGAGTATATGTATGTCTGCTTCCGAATCTTGGGTCGTTGGGCTTCAAATACCCCTAAATGTTATCAAAGACAGTATGCAGTTGTTTGTATGTGAAATACCAGATCATTCTATTACATACTCTGGCATATACAATAGAGAAACCCTTACCGTGAGTGCATCACCAAATTGATAAAGTAAGTCATTAAACATGTGCATAAGGTTCTCCATTCTCACCGAATAATAAGGAAACATAAATGTAAATACACGTTGTCTGAGCTATGCACAGTCCGAACTGGGGGAGTGGTACTACTAGAAAAACAGCCTTTTACAATGCGTGTCAAGAAAGGCCCAGTTATAACGAGAAACGACATGCTTTTGCGCATCATCTATAGACGACATGCATTTACGATGCGCATTTATGACATGCAATGTGTATCACTAAAGCCACTGTCAAGAAAGGTCATGCCATAAATGTAGATGACACACATTTTTGCATATTGTAATTTTAATTTTTTCTTTTAAAAAAATAATTATAGATTTACTGCATTTCAAATTAAATTTGCATTTCATGTCTCATAATAGAAAATAAAATACCATATACAAAAATACAATACATTTCACAAAAGTTAATATCATACAAATAATCATTCCAGTAGTAGACAAATGCAGTACATCAAATGTGAAAGCGATGAAAGTCATTAACAAATAATAGTTGAACTACAAGAACTTGTTGCCCACCTTCACAACATCCCGAGCTACTTTGCTTGACACTGTGCACATTAGCAAGACCTACAAATTTGAATAATATAGCAATAGAGGCCCTTTCTGCCCCAATTTTATAAAGAACCTAAAAAATGAAAAAATAAATAAATAAATAAATGAAAGTACACTGCTATTTCTTACAAATGTGTTTTTGTTTTGTTGTTACTGTTGTGATAGAAATTGGGTTGGTTTCACCTCTCGACTAACAGCATCACCAAAGTATTCAGGAAGGTCAAGTGAAAGTATATAGCTATTTCTCACAGTTAACCCATCAAAACGCTGGCAAAATAAGGGAACATAACTAAGATCTCATACGAACAAATTGACTGCACACACTTGGATTGTTTAATTAAAAAAACAACTTTATAATAGAATCCAAATCTACTTTGTGAGATGGAATATATTTTGGTTCATATAACAAAGAATACTAAAATAAAGGTTCAATGGAAAAGAAAAATACATGCAAATGGTACCAGAATTCCATGACAAAACCGATAAAACTATCAAAATGCAACCAGCACCACCAGCATGACTAACTAACAATCAATATGCAAAAGAGTTTTTTATTAGTTAGATTTTACTTGCCACTGTTGTTAATGACATTGAAAGAAGCACCCCAACAAACACCCCCTCAGAAGGATTACTACCACATAATCGTTGATATTTGATACTTTATTACTAAATGAAACCAAAAACATAGTTAAAAAGTCAACATAATCAGAAGGTTTTAGTCAAACTTATAGAGGCTGTAATTCAAAATATTACTAAATGACATCGATTGAACTACCTGCAGATTTACCATTTTATCCCTATGAGATTCACAACTGAACACATTCTACAGTTTGTAAACTATTATATATATATATATATATATATATATATATATATATATATATATATATATATATATATATATATACACTTGAGTGATTTCCTCGGTGCTTGGCCAAACGTCTCTAAATTAGGCATTGTTTCCATCCTTTGTGGTCCTGATTGGTTCGTTTTCGATGTCGATGTCGACCTAAAACGCACAACATGAAAAACATGATATGACTTTGTGTTGTGTGTTTCTTTGAGGGTGGAAGAGTAATTTTACACATGCCGTGCTGACAAGTGCGTAAGCTACAACTAAGGGAGGTGAAGCCAGGTAGTTGGCTCTTGTTAGTGGGTCAAGATGCCCTTCAAAGTTTCGGTTTCTAGAAAGCACAGGTGCAACAATAATATCTGCAACAAATATGTTTTCAAGAGTTAAATAAATTACTTTATTACAAATCTGATCCCTATGATTTCTGATTTTTACTCTGTTTCACTCCAAAATTGGAACTTGGAACATTTTGTTTTCAATTTTGGTCCCTGGAACGTTGAAATAAGGACTAAAACTGAAAAAAAAAGGTTTCATGTTTGGACTAAATAAGGAAAAAGCAGAAAGTACAGGGACCATTATTTTAATTTACTACATATAGTGCAGCCATAACCCACTATGCTGAATCCCTGCTGGTCCAAATACTTTTGCAGACCACTGTATGCATGAGGAAAGTTATAAAAATGGAAGGCAAAGAGATTAAAAGATAATCAATGACAAAATCGTAATTTTACCTATGGAGCAAGTATTTTGTGACAACCTCGGAACCAGGGGAAAGGCTATTTTTACCCAAGGTTTAACCTAATACATGATAATAAAGACTTGTTTAACAAAAAGAAAAATGATTTCTCACGTGACATCACTATTAGGAATTGATTAAATAGGGTACTCCACAATGTATTGCCAACAAGCTTGACACCAACACCTGAAAGCTGGAAAAAAAATAACACAAATAAAAATAAATGTAAGATTTGAGATAACAGATACATGTGTATGAAATAACCAATAAATGATAGAATTAGTGAAAAGCAATCATGGAAACAAGGAGTTAAAGGGTCTTTAAGCATACCATTTGCAAAAATTGGCTGATGTTGATCTTTAACATTCCCTAAAATGGGAAGAACTTGGGAAAGCACACCTTTAAGTCTTGGGGTACGCTGTAGAGCTTCAAATAAATGATCATAGCACCAAAAGAAATTCAGTTTCAAGACTCAGTTTTCAACATATGAAAGAAGACCCATAAGGATGCCAAAGAGTTGTATAGAGGACTAACCATTAGAAGTAGCAAAGCTTGCAAGAATTTGAACCATAGCTAGAAGAGTTGAGTTTTGTGCGTACAAGTGAAGAAATAGTTCTTCCGTCATCTATAGAAGTAAATCAGAAAGCTTGAACAATTAGGCATACATGCATGCGATTCCGTATGTCCATCCCAATCCCAATCCGTTTGCCATATTACTTTGTATCCCAATTCGAGTGTCACACCCCCGAACCGTAATACAAACGGCGGAAACATTCGGAGGTGGATGATGTCATATGTAGTATCACAAAAATTGCACCAGAGTAATCAAAGTAAACACAACCATTACATTATAAGAATATTTACATTGATTGTTTCGTACAGGTTTGTATATATATCAAAAGTAGCAAAAGATAATGATGAGACTCCAAAAATGCTCTGTCTTCTCCAAGATCTGGCAAAAGTACCTGTCTATTGTTGTCCTGAGAATACAAGCGATTTTGAAAACGTATCAGCATAAAGCTAGTGAGTTCATAAGCATGTTTTTGAATTGAAAACTATTCACTGAATTTGTATAAATGTTTGTTTTGCTTTTCCAGAAAATCCAATATTTTCTATCATGTTTGTTGATTTCAGTATGAATAGTATGAGCTATTTGAAAACCCTGGCTACCACCAGTATGTATGTTCTTGTTTGAAAACTCTAGCTACCCCAGTATGTATGTTCTTGTTTGAAAACCCTGGTTACCACCAGTATGTATGTTCTTGTTTGTAAACCCTAGTTACCACCAGTATGTAAAGTAGTCCTATTACTTAAAATAAAACCAAATGATGTATCCCTGGAATACCCTCCAGTGTAGTATGTAGGTAGTCTTATTAATTAAAATAAAACTACTAAAGAATGATAATCCCATAAAAAAAGGTTAGTTTATACTATTGTGAGTTCGTATAGCCATGCTAATGTGACTGATGACCTCCACGATGTTTCTTCAGGCGGCGTATGTTACCAAATTTGTCACCCCAGGCATGCCTACCTAACTATAGCTAACAGTTTAGGTGTGGGATTGTCGGTCCCCAATAGATTTATTCAAAAATCTCATGCTCTCCCTCCAGGAGACTCCGGCTATACTAAATGTAGAGGATTTACCAGTACCCCGAAGGGTACAATGATGAGATGTCTCACAATCCTGTATTAACTTGTTTACGTGTTGTTGTCATGTTTGAAATCATTTTTATACTGAGTAGAGTATAAATAACTATGCACAAAATAATTATTTGGTATGATACTCTTGTTATCTATATGTAGAAATGGATAAACTTGTAACGCTTATAGATCCGGGCTAGTCAATTTAAAGATAATAGGGGTCGAAAATGACTTTTCGGCAAAATATTATTTAGAATAAATAATCTTAACCAAGTTGTAGTATATGTTACAAGGTTTCCGTACATATAAAGACCGCCGAAATCTGACACGTTGAAGTTTCGTGACGGAACCGACATGATACCGGGAAACGTAAATAGTGAATTTATGATAGAGCAAGATTTAGCGTTAGCGATCTAAACGAAAGTCATAGAATACATTAAACTGAAAGCATCCATAAAAAGAATGCCCAAATCTGACTTCGTCTGAGAAAGTTATGATTTTTCGAACTTTCAGATTAGCAGTGTACAACCCGAAATTCGAATATTAGATCGAGCGGTTTTTAGCCGACACAACCAAAAAGAGAATCGAGGTTCTCGTTATTAGTAGCCTAACAATAAAAATACAGACGAAAATGGACATAGGATGAAGAAGTTATGAAATTTTAACGAACCAATCCTGTCCCGGCCTATTAAAAATATAACTTTAAAAATAAAGTCAAAATTAGCCAACAGAGTCTAAACGAAAGTTGTAAAATACGTCTCCACCTACGCATGGATATAAATAACGTCAAAAACGGAGTTCGTATGAACGAGTTACAAATTATAATAGCATATTTACGTATTAAAATAAAGTATAAATCATATATAAGCACACACACACACACACACATATATATATATATATATATATACATATGTATATATCATTAGAAAGGTATCGACGATGCGGTCATTATAATACTAATGTTGACTTCTTTCGACATTAGTTTAGTACAAATATTGTTAAATCTATTTAAAATAGTATTATAAATGGGTGTTTAATTGTTTATATAACTAAAAGGTCATTAAGTAATTATGGAGGGTAGTTTTTGAAAATTTAATTAGTATAAATAAGAGCCTTGGGCTCTCATATTTCTTGCACCATTTTCTTGATTCAAGAGTCTTTCTCTCCTTCTCCCCCGAGCATTTCGGTCACTCGTGATTCGACTTCTCTTTCTGTAGTTTTAGTATAGTAAGGTGAGCGCTAAATCGCTGCACGAATCTTTCTTATAAAGATTCAACGACGAAGTTCTACCCCTAAAGAGCCCGACTGCTAGCTAAAATCCCCTTGTAAGTAAGTTATGCTTACCATATTTTATATATGGTTTATATTTAAAATTAGTATTGTTATTATAAATTTATAATAAATATTTGAGCGATTATTATGACTTATATAAGTGTCATTATAATATCTTTTTAACTATTCGCGGTACGGGGAATCTGGTTTAAAGGGCCGCATAAGGTTGTTGGATTTTAGAAGTGCTATACGCCAAATTGGTCCTGCCCTCCGGTGTTATATGCCCTCCGGTGTTATATGTCTGGCCCCTGTCTGTACATAGTGGTTGGAAAGTATTGTTTAAACGCTTATATAATAATAATAAGACTAATAATTAGTCATGGTAAATATTAGACTAAAATCTAGTGGTAATACTACTAGGTTTCGTCGAAGGAAATTATTTTAAAGTAAACAAAGCACTGTCCGAGTACCGAGTCAGCACCTTCTCAGGTGAATGCATAGTTACTGTCATCTTACATATAGATATGAAATATTTTATATAAACTACGTGCTATGTGTGTATATTATATTAATATTTGTTGTCTATGTTGGATGAACGTTTTTTTTTATATACATGTTTTAAATGATTTGAACTGTATATGTATTTTAAATATACAAGTATGTTGGGTATGAGATGGGTAGATGAATCATGAGAGATAAAAGATGATGTGAGTAAACATTGGCAGCTATAGACTTAGTGCCTAACAAATAACATCGGCAACTATGGACATAGTGCCTATTGGACAAACGCTGGTAGCTATGGACTTAGTACCTGTTAGGAATTGGTAGCTATGGACTTAGTACCTATTAGATAAACACTGGTAGCTATGAATTTAGTACCCAACAGCTATGGAATTAGTGTTTTATGAACGAGCATTGACAGCTATGGATTTAGTGCCAGTCCTATAACTCTGGAAGCAAAGGACTTTAGAATGAACGAATGTAGGATAGATGACTCTTAGGATAGATCCTTAAGAGTAAAGAAGATAATGGGTGATGAGATTAAGCTAACCTTTAATCTATAAAGATCGATTAGATCTTGAACAAGTATATAAACATAAACAATATGAATCGTAATAAAAAGAATAAGTTAAGATGGAATCAAATGTGTCGAATGATTTAAACAAAAATCCTCAGAAGAGCTCTATTAAGAACATCAACTGTAGAGGATTGGAAGGTTACAAGTACGATTAAAGAAACATGTTATCGTCTAGATGTATCGCTATTTTCAGATCTCTAAAAACCTTAACCTAATATGCATGCAAGCGTAAACTTATATACAAAACATAAAAGGTTCACGGTTGGACAGGCCCAAACCGGAATACAAAGTAACATAATTTGTCGAGCCCAAAAGACGCAATCTTCAAAAAAATTTTCAGCCCAACAATCTCCCCCTTTGCGTCAATTTGGAGCGAGACCTTCATTCTCTTTTCACAGCAGAGGGCTTCTTTACCGTTTCAAAAATCTTCGGTATTAAAGCCAGAATATGATGCCTGAAGGTGATATACCAACGAAGCATGTCAGTGAAGTTCTTCTTGTCTGCTGTTGAGTTCTGTTTGCATCGGTGAATGATATTGATAATATGCTCCAGACAATCTGTAGAAAACAGATGTTTGTCTACCAAAGCAAACAGAAACTTATGCTTGTCGCCTCTGGTGAACATAACCGTCAGATTAGAAGAATCAATTTGCCCTATCTTCATTTTATGAACATCTCCGGTCTTGGAAGTGGGCTTGACGGTCGGTTTCTTGTTCATAACTTTTGCTATTTCCTGATCCATAGTGGCGAGCTCATGGACGTAGGAAGCCAACATTCTTTTAAGATGTTTAAGAATTGGTTCATACTCTCTTTGGTTGGAGAGAAGAATGTTGTATAGCAAAATCCAATCATGCGGATTCAGACTGGGAAGATCTGCCAGAGAAATAAGATGTTCTGTGTTGGCCGTTCCTCTGTTGATTTTGAAATTAACGTTCACAAATTTCCCAGCCTGTGTCGGTTTCAGTACCTTGACTTTAATGATTTTCTGAGCACTCCATGTCAAGTACTGCGGTTGACCATATTTCAGATAGAAATCTATTAGCTCTCTGTCAACCTTCAGGTTCGGATGAGGGACATCGGCAGTGACATCAAAGCAATGAAATGTGAAAGCTTTGCGCGTGATGGGCATGTCGAACTGCGAGTCTTTTGTATTTTCACACTCAAAGGATGCAATCGGTTCCAACCAATATATGGAAGGAAACTCAATCGCTTGAGTGATGAGTGTGTCTCTGTCCCAATCTGGGAACAGAGTCTTCTTGGCTTGAATGGCCTCCTCATCCTCCCTGATCTTTCTTTCCCTGGCCTCGGCCTCTCGAGCTATCCTTAGAGTTTCATCAAGCTCTTTGTCCCTTTTCTTGCGTTGAAGAGCTTCAGTGATAGTTTCGTCTGAATCTGATTCACTCTCAACTAGGACTTGTTTCCCAGAACCCGAAGCTACATTAACCTTCGGTTCTGTCTTGGACACACCTTCCTCTCCCCCTTGTCGCGGAAGAACAAGCTTCTCCGAGACACCCTTCATTTCACTTAAGATATTAATAGCAGGAAGGAGTTTCGCCTGGAGATGCTGTCTAATAGTGAGAGTTAGGAAGGGATCATGGGTGTCAAGAACATTTGTTAGCATATTCTTGACAT